GAGGATGTGGAATACAAAAGCGAACGGAAAGAAGGGCGGAACAAGAAGAGGAGAAACCATCAGCGCAACATCACGTGGTTCAGCAAAAACGTACAACAAATGTGGCCGGAAAATTCTTCCACCTTATTGATAAACACTTCCCAAAAGGCTCACCACTCAATAAAGTATTCAACAGGAACACAGTCAAGGTTAGCTATAGCTGCATGAACAATATACGAAGCATTATCAATACCAATAACAAACGAGTTCTCACAGCGACTACAAGCCAGCCACAACCCCCTGCCAAGACATGCAACTGCCGTAATGCCGCACAGTGTCCCTTTGATGGTGATTGCCTGAGACCGTGTGAACACTGGACTGACGGAGCCTCCCTTCCAGGACCAGTACAATAATCAGACAATGAGCTTCCCCATGAACGGTATCAGAATAAGACTGAACTGTCAAACCATGTGCGTTCGGGGACGCCATTCTCTGTTCAGTGGAATGTTCATACAGGGACACAGGCGTACAACAAGTCGAAAAGGTGCAACCTATGCAGAATCGAGAAGCTTACTACTGAACTATGCCAACAACCCAAAGAGCCTGAACAGAATAAACGAACTAGTGTCAAAATGCCGCCATGAAAACAAATACTTGTATTACATACAAAACTTCACACCTAACATGACAGTAGAGCAAGCAGCAGCCAGTCGCAACTGCGGCGCAAGGACAGTACCCAGCCAAATATCAGTGCTAATATTATACTTAACCATCACAACCATGCCTGGTTTAGCATACGTCAGTGCCAATATTATCCCATTACTTATTCCGCATATCATCCATAACATCAGTGTCTGCTCCAGCGCCGGGTGAGCCGGGTAATCCACCCGGTTGGGCGGCGCTTGGACCCGGTTGAAAATATAGTACCGGGTCACCTGTGACCCGATTGGTACTTTACACTTTCGAACTTTGAAAGGACTGACTACATGGCTTGTATGTGTCAGATACTTCTTCTTCTTTCGTAATTTTCTAATTCCTGTCCTCTCTTTTCTAAATGCGGCTTATCCATTCGCCTTTATATCATTGGACCTAGTTCCCGTTTATTGTCCGAATTAAAATAAACCAACCAACCAGTTAAAGCATGTGACTCAGCTGGTGAGACAGCGCCAGTGTACCCGGCTCCGACCCGGTTGAAATGGTTGCGCCAGGTACACGTGCACCCGGCTGTCCTACAATCCTGGAGCAGACACTGAACATCTGTGTTATATTGGCCTTCATTCGTGTATCGCGTAGAGTAATGACAATCTAAGCGCCAAGTATCACGCATGATCTGATGCATAATGATTGGTCTTAGGTTTTTATTATCAGTTGTCTAATGATTGCAGGGGCATGCAATTTTGAGTCACGACAAATCCAAACTGGACCTATTTTTCTTTTCCGTATCTATCTCTCTCTGTCTCTCTCTATATTTCTCTCTATATCTATTTTCTATCTATCTACCTATCTATCTATCTCTCTCTCTCTCTCTTTATTTCTCTCCATCTATCTATCTGAGTATTTCGCCCCCGCTCTTGTAGCAGTTGAGCACTCTTGTGTGGGGCAGTGCCTTTGCTGTTTGCGTTATGCAGAGCTCACTGACTTGTCAGTTTGAGCACTCTGGCAAGGTACGTTCGGGCCTGGTTTAAATCTGGCTTTGGTTATTTTAAACTCGGGTATTGAGCCAATAATAAAAGAAGAAAGGAAAAGGACATATGGAAACGAGTTAAGAGTAACTCTCCACCACTGTAACTAGATACTATCAGAAAGTGCAACAACTAGGCACAAAACTGACAGAGTACTGAGACATTCGACGTCCTGACACCTAGCTTCAACACATTTCCGTAGCGCTAACCGACAGCCTTCCAACTTGGAAGGTTCAAGGTTATGGAAAGACCAAAGAGGGAAAGGCAAGCGCAACGAAAACGAGCACAAGCTACAGTCCCAACGGAACAAAGAATGTCGATTGTCATTGGACGATGACGAGACCCGTAGGCGATTTGACAAAGCGGTCTAACTACAATTCGAAGCAGCACACCACCCAACTTGGGTGGGTCAAAATATCAAAGATAAGTTAAGAAGGGGGAAGCTTTGCGAGAACGAATTGTACAAGCCGAAATCTAAACTCCTACAGTACTCCTCATGCATGACATTGTGATGGACTAGTTGACTACAAAACAAGTTGTTTCACACGACGTACGTTTCGCCGTATGGTTCGTGACGGCTCATCAGGTGTGCAATTTGAAACTCGGGTATTGAGCCAAATAAAAGAAGAAAGGAAAAGGACATGTGGAAACGAGTTAAGAGTAACTCTCCACCACTGTAGCTAGATACTATATACAGTCAGAAAGTGCAACAACTAGGCACAAAACTGACAGAGTACTGAGACATTCGACGTCCTGACACCTAGCTTCAACACATTTCCGTAGCGCTAGAGAGAGAGAGACAGAGAGACAGAGAGAGACAGAGAGAGAGAGACAGAGAGAGAGACAGGGAGAGAGACAGGGAGAGAGGGAGAGAGACAGAGAGACAGAGAGACAGA